ATCATGACATGTCAGAAAAGTTGTCTTTTATATCAATTTTCGTCATACAAATATTTGACTCACACTACCTAAATATCTTCTTTTATGTGAATTATAATACTTAGTAGAGTCTTGATAACCCCTCATATAATCATCATTCAATATACCACAATACACAAGAGTAAACAACTTTTACCTTATAAAGTATTTCCACTTTCATTACAACATACATCTATATATCAAAGCATTTATAATTTAATACAATTTTTACATTACAATCTTTTCCTTTCATACTTAATAATTCCACAATCAATCCACTTATTAAAACATTTCATATATTAATTATCCTCATAAACACCTAAAAGATCTTAAATAAAAACCACTTTCTTCCTGAACAACACCATGGCTCTACCAACAGGTGAGCATTGGAAGAAAATCCTCCAAAATTTGTTGAGTGAGTGTCTCGCTAACTCAACAAATAAGATAAGTGGGAGTGATTTTCATGAATCATCCAACGAGTTCTATCTCGCATAGTGAGTAAGACAACTTTGATTATTTGACTTTCAATTAAAATAATATCGCTTAATGAAAGATACACTCTCCCAATGAATAAAGTTTTCCTGCATCTTTAACTTCGTGAATTATGATCTCGTTTAATGAGTAAATCACTCGTCTAGCGAGATTGATTTTGTCTATACTATATTTCTCTTTGTATTTTTTTAGCACTTTGATATAGTTTTATACCGTGATTTTTATTACTTATGCTATTAAAGTGACTTGCATCCTGTAAAAATAAACTTGATGAGAAAAATTACCTAAGAACTATTCATTACTCTTTCTAGGTTTTGTAATTTCCGTTCATTTTCAATTTTCATCATACTACCTAGTTTCTCCAACTATTATTTCACCATCAAAATTTAGTTTTAGATCAGTCACACATATTTGGGTGGACCCTTATTAGCATGGGGTTAAGGCGATGTTTCTTCTTGTACCTTCCCGTCTTTCTTTTCACACACCCACAAAGGTGACACTCTCCAAACTATTTCTCATTAAAAATATAATAAAAATTTATATATCATAGAAATTTTGGAAATAAATGTTCCAAAAAGATATTTTTGAAACCAAAAATACTTTTCGGAACACTTGATTTAGAAATTTGTTACATATTCTGATATACCAATCCAAAATTTAAAATAAAATCCAAAATATATTGTTTCAAAATACAAAAATATAGGTGTTTTTTGTGAGAGGCATTAATAATCCACTCAGGATTCGTTTTAGTAGAATTCACGTGTCAAGAGAGGGGCTCGACACTCAGCTGGTGGAAGGCAGGTGTTAGCAAATGAGCGAACGCTCATTTTGGTGTTGGAAGGAAAACTTTGATTTTTCAGAAATCCACGCCACTCTGCATGCACCCTCCTTTCCCAGATTCTGAAAAATCTCATTTTCTCCTCCTTCTCTCTACATCTCTTCATCTTCTCTCTAAGAAATTCTCACCTTTGCTTCCTCCGATCACCATTCAGGCATTGTTTCTACTCCTCCGGTGTCAAGAGCTTCAGTTTGAACCGATCGGTTTTGGGTTTTGAACTGGTAAGTTCTTCTTTTCAATTAGCTGTGCGTTTTCTGGCACATGCAAACCAAGTTCTGGTTGCATGAGTTCATAATCTTGTTATGAACCATTTCTGGCTTTGTGTTTGATTTAGTTTCATAAAGAGTGAACCGTACGACTCTAAGATTTCTGGTGATGAGCTATTCTATATGAGCTGTGAGCTTTCGGTCACATTAGAGGTAAGGGAAGCTTATTTAATTTAATTTGTATGTTGCTTGAATTGCATGTATGTTGGTTGAGTTGCTGAATTAATATGAAATATGAATGTTGCTATGTTCTGATTGTATGAAGTATGGAAATTCAATATGATATGGATGTATGAGATTTTGAAGATAAATAATTCTAAGTATGAAATTCCCTATGATAATGTATGTTCGTTACTGGTCTTTGACCGTTCGGTTTTTCTTGGGGACTCGTTTAGAACTGAACTCCTTCATTTGGAAGGAGTTTATGTTGAGGACGAGCGTCTTCGTCTAGTACAATTTGTGTACAGGCGTTCCACTAAGGATATTCTATTCTTGACATTTTAATATAAATTTAAGTATGCCCATCGGTAGTAGTATATTCGTTCGTTCTTGAATATTAATTAAATAATAGCTTATATTTCAAGCGTTCGTACGACTTAGTGTTAGGTCTTTCATTAAGCGATCGTGCTATTTACTTATAGGTTTTTCATCAAGCGCTCGTACGATTTAGAGCTAGGTCTTTCACCGAGCGTTCGTACTATTTTTGTGCAGAGTCTTATACCAAGCCCTCATTCTCTTTTCTATAATCTACCTTGATGAAAATAGCGTTCGTCCAAATTTAATAGTGTACTCTCTCTACCGTGCTCGGTCTTTGACTGACATTCGGTTTTCTTGATGTTAAACTCAATTAAGCTAAGTATTTATAAGCGTTCGGTTTCTTCATGTGATTCTTTTAAGTATTATTCCTTGAATGTCTTGAAATGTTTGTATCCATTGGTTTCGGCCTAGAGTCTTAATACATGGCATGGGCTTTTCGGTGTTCGGTTTGAGCTCTCAGGAGTCAATTCATTTAATTGGCTCACTTTTTAAATAACATTCGTTCTATTCGTTCTTGTAATATATGATTGTACTCTGGTTCTTTCTCAGCTCGATAGTAAACCTCTCGGTCTTAATCTGTTATGGAACTGGAGACCCCTCGGTCTCGCTCCAATTTTCGGTCTCGTCTTGAGTTAGGGTTGAACGTTCGGTATTTGGCAATCTTTAGGGATTTTTATTCAAATTCATTGGATCTTCGTTCCAATCGAGATTTAATAAGGAAAAGATGATTAAGTATGTTATGGTGGAAATGTATTTGATTTTGAACGAGTATTCCGGGGAGGAATATCTCATGAATGGATATTAGAATTTGGTAAAGTATGAATGTGGGCATGCTAAGCTGGCTGTTCATCCTGATGTTCCGTGATTACTCGTCCGTACGTAGAGGAGGGTAAGTCATGTGTGGGAACGGCAGGAGGTCCTAATCCTTATGGACAGATAGGACTAACCTCGGGTGGCAGCTGTTGAGGGTATCCAGTTACTACATCACCCGGGTGCACGAACATCGTAGCTACACAGAATTCATACAGTCCGGATAGTCAGTCTAGTATTAGGCTTTGCATGAACGAGTGATGAATTATCTTGTTTGGTTGATTGTGTGAAATATATATTTATACATGAATTGAATTACATAAGCTTACCCTATGTTTCTTGTCTTGTCTGTTTTGTACGGTTGTCTTTCTGTTGCAATGATCATCCATGTGGATGTGAGCAGAAGGAGACGAGCTGCTGGAAGAAGCGCTAAGACCGAACAGTAGAACCGTTCGGTGAGTTTATTAGCTTAGTTTTAAGATGATCGTTCGATCATATTTTCCCCTCTTCTTTTGGTAGGACCGTTCGGTATAGTCTTTTCTAAACCCGTTCGGTCGGGAATCGCTTATGTTGTTCGGGTTTTAATTTTCTAGTTTTTTATGTAAGGTCATTCGGCCACAAGTGTATTTCTCTTTTAGTGTAAGACTGAGTTGTATATTATTCAATGTGATTATTCTATTATATAGTTTTAGACTGTATTTTTGGGATGTTACATTTTCAAATCTAAAAATAATTTCCTTTTTCAAAATGTATAAAAAAAAGTCATTTTCTGGAATGTATAAAGAAAAGTCTTGTTTTTTCAAAATTTTGAATCGGAAACGCATGATTCTTTTTTTTTTCTTTATTTCTTGTTTAGATTGAAATGTGAGCAAAGGCTTATTCCACCACCATTCTTCTCCCCCAAATTTCCATTCTGGTCTATCAAATTTATTTTGTACTTCATTCATTATACATTTTTCTTTATAGGTTTAACAAGTGCAGTGCTTTCATATTAAATATATATATTTTTTAATTTTTGGTACATTTTTCAAATTTGTATTTTATTATTTTATTTTCATTTTCATTAAAGAGAAAGGGAATGTTTCTCTTTAAAATCGTTCAAATATTTATGAAATAAGTTCTTTAAACATAAAAAATAAAAAGAAATATAATATTAACAATAATTCAATACTAAAAACAATTTTTATTCTACTTCTTTCACTTACACATCCTGTAAATACTCCAGATAATTAAATATCATATTTTTAAAAATTTAATACTAAAAAGAACATATTTTATTTGTCTCTTATAATTTCTTCTTCTCTTATATTCACTCCCACATAGACCTGCTTATTTTCTTTTTACAAATATTTGCCCAACCTTTCATCAAAATATGATTTCCATAATATTTTTATTCTTTGGTACCAAAATAACAATCTTTCTATCATTAAAAAAAGACACGTTTACTTCACCTTTATTGTCCTATTCTTTAACATTATTTTTGTGATGATCAAAACAATTTCAAAAATTCCTTTCACTTTTCAAATATTTGAAAACTTCTTTTTAATTAAAGTTAATTCATGAAAACTACGCCGATAAATCGAATTTAAAAAGTACAAAAAATAGTACACTTAATAGTTGTGCACAAAAAATAAGAGATATTTGGCATAAAAAATCATTTTCATATTAAAAGATTATGGTTTATTCATGTCTATTTATAAAAATCAGAATTAGTAGTATAAAATAAAATGCACAATTTTGAATCATTTTATAATAGTAAACGAGAAAAAAACTAAATGTTCAAAGAAACTAAATATTTGAAAAAATTTGACAAATAAAAAGATTAATATCTAATCTTTTAATAAATTAATACATATTTTAAAAATTAATACCAAACCAAATAATCCTTAAAAAATGTAAATCTTTCTCAAAATTAATAATTTATTAATGCAAAATGTAGAAAGTAAGTTATTATTTAGTATACAAAAAACAATTCTAATAACTTTAAAATATCATTTCAAAACAAATATTTGCTATACACGGACTAATGGATAACATGATTAAAAATATATTACTTTACATTTAAAAATATTTTTTAATTTTATTAATTCAATTTTTTGTGGCATAAAAACTAAAAGTAACTAGTAAGGCACACATTTACTAGTTAAAAGGATTACTAAAACTAACTACAAATTTTCATACTAACCATCAAATATTTAAAATATTAAAAAACTCACAAAAATTTTAACATGACACCCACTTAACAAAAGTTCAAATATTACAAAATTTAAAAACAAACACTAAATATAAAAAAGATTGTTCTGGAATCATAATGGTAAGAGACAATAGAGTTAGACTTAATCAACTTCCTCCATCTTGCTGCCCTCAGCATCAGCATCAGCATCTTCTAGAGGTGGCATGTCGGCATCTGCTTCACCGGCATCCTCATCAATGCTGAGTCCAAGCTTCAGCATCCTGTGAATTCTGTTACCGAATGTGTTGGGATCATCAAGGCTGAAGCCAGAAGTTAGAAGAGCAGTCTCAAAGAGCAAGAGAACGAGATCCTTCACAGATTTATCATTCTTGTCAGCATCTGCTCGCTTCCTCAGCTCATCCATGATGGGATTCTCAGGGTTAATTTCCATCGTCTTCTTGCTTGACATGTATCCAGCCATACTGCTGTCCCTCAATGCCTGAGCCTTCATTATCCTTTCCATGTTAGCTGTCCAACCATATTCACCAGTCACCAGACAGCATGGAGAATCCACAACACGATCAGACACCACAACCTTCTCCACCTTGTCACCCAAAACATCCTTTATCACCTTGCAAAGACCATCAAATTTTTCCTTCAATTCTTCCTTCCTTTTCTTCTCATCCTCACTCTCATCAAGTTTCAAACCTTCTTTAGTAGCAGACACCAACTTCTTTCCCTCAAATTCCTTAAGCTGACCAACGGCATATTCATCAATGGCATCAACCATGAAAAGCACCTCGTATCCCTTCTTCTTCAGCCTTTCCAAGAAGGGGGAGTTCTCCACAGCTTTCCTGCTTTCACCAGTAATGTAGTAGATGTCATTCTGTCCTTCCTTCATCCTGGTAACATAGTCCTTCAGGCTAGTCATCTCATCACCGCTCTTGGTAGAGTGATACCTCAACAATTCAGCTAGCTTTGACTTGTTCTGGGAATCCTCATGGATACCCAATTTAAGGTTCTTAGAGAAGGCTTCATAGAACTTGTTATAATCTTCCTTGTTCTCAGCAATTTCAAAGAAAAGCTCAACGCACTTCTTAACCAAGTTCTTGCGGATGACCTTCAAAATCTTGTTTTGCTGCAGCATTTCTCTAGAAATGTTAAGAGGAAGGTCCTCAGAATCCACAATACCCTTAACAAAGCTAAGATATTCTGGAATCAACTCTTCGCAGTTGTCCATGATGAAGACTCTGCGTACATACAGTTTAATGTTGTTAGGCTTCTTCCTTGTGTCAAAGATATCAAAAGGTGCCCTCTTTGGGATAAAGAGGATAGCCTTAAACTCCAACTGACC